CGGTGAATGAGTGGACTGGGGACCCTTCCACAGAGTAGGAGGTTTCAGCAAAGGACATACTGGGACCGGGCAGAGTAGCTGGAACATGATGCTGCAGTGACTTCAGTCACATATTCCCCTCTCAAGCAGGATTTGTGGGGAGTGCCTGGTTTGGGTGACACCGCTGACTAAGACCCAGTAAGCTAGCCCAAACCAGGTTGCAGTGCCTGGAGGTGCACCCTAGCAGCAAAGCCTTTGGTAGGTTGACCTGGAGGGGCAGGCCCAGCATAGGCTGCCCAGGTCTGTGTCTCCCTAGTACACTGCAGTGGGCGGGAACATCTAGCCTGTGCAATTCAACAAACTGTAACCGACAAAGAAAGAAACTGGGCCTCCTATACATGCTTATATAAAAGGAACACAAAATATGGGAAGAGGGAGCAACAAGAAAGGGTCCTCGGCCCCCAATCCTGAGAAACATGCAATATCAGACACAACACCAATTCATAAAGCACTATCTCCAGAGCCTCATAGACGAGTTCAGGAATGAAGTTATTAACAACCTGAAGCAAGATATAAGTAGAATAGTTAGAGAAATGCTAAGCAATGCCCAAGAAAAAACAGATGGTGGAATGGAAGAACAGAAAAAAGGGGAGAATTGTTTGTTGGAGAAAATAGAGAAAACATAGAATAAGTGAAACAGGTTCAAAGAGATTACCAGGAAACTAAAAACTCTATTGAAAACTGGCATAACAGCTGGAAAGAAACTAAGGATAGATTATCTGAACTGGAGGGCAGATTTGTAATATGGGAGCATGAAATGAAAAACTTCTTAAAAATAACAAAAAAACAAACAGCAACAATACAAAGGCTAGAAGATGGTAAGAGGATCTATAACTTAAGAATTAAGAACATAAAAGAAGAAGTAGGGATACAAACAAATGGACTACAAAAGCTACTCACAGAAACAATCCAAGAGAATTTCCCTAATTTAGCAAATGGTACAGATACTCAGATGTAGGAGGCATACAGGACCCCAGCCACCTACAACCCAAACAGAGCTACACCCAGGCATATAATAATCAAAATTCCAGAAATCCAATATAAGAACAGAATATTAAAAGCTGTCAGAGACAAGAAACAGATCACTTACAAGGAACACCCATCAGAATTACAGCAGACTTCTTAGCATAAACCATCAAATCATGAAGAGCGTGGGGGGAAATAATTCAAACTTTGAAAGATACCTTGGGTGAAGATTGATATATCCTGCACAACTGTCCCTAGAAATTGATGGAAAAGCAAGGTGCTTCCAGGATAAAGAGGAACTAGGGGAATCTGCAACCACCAATTCAACTCTACAGAGAATACCGCAGGATATTCTAAAAAAGGAAAATACCAAGATTCCAGAAATAGTGGCAGAGAGGCCACAATGAATGGAGCAGAAAGTGAAATGAAGAAGACAAACTGACAACCAATGACAGAAAAAGAGCTCAACAGAAATGAGCCAGAGATCAGATGGTAGGAACAGCTATTTTGGAGAAAACAAGACATCATAAGAGCTAGTGCTGATTTAGTATCATCTTGTTTTGAAGTCCCATCAAACTTGTATTCTTCATCTCCATTGGTCTTAAAAGGTTGTATCTTATTGGGTTTTATTATATATGATAATATAAGCAAAAACTTTTATAGATAAGGAAATTATACAGAAACCACTGTTCATTTTCTGTTAATTGGTTCTAAATACCCTGTAATAACGTCATTCTCTTGAATGGTTTTATAGTGTCTTGATATGTTTGGTGCTACAGTATATGAAGTTATACTCAAAAATTTCAAGGAAAGAGACACTATGGTAACTATTTTTATGTCAGGATATCTTGTGGTGAAACACTATTTTGCTTAAATGGTTATGTTTTGACCTGCGCTGTTCTGTTGTTATGCCCTCTTTTATCTCAATCCCCTTTTTAAAAATTATTTATTTTTATCTTTTTAATTAAGGGAAAAGTAAAAAATAGTAGGATACATTATAGTAACCTACTTTGATTTCCTATAGCAACCTACTTTGATTTCCTATTAACCTGACTTGAAATCCTGTACTGCCCTCACCATCTTTTTTTTTTTTTTTGTCTTTTTCCTTTTTATCGGTACCAGGGATCAAACTCATGACTGCCTGCTTGCCTGGCAGGTGCTTATGCCACTGAGCTAGATCCCCAGCCCCTACCATCTTGTTTTGACTGATTTTCCCCTATTCTGCTTTGCTTGATAGTACCAAGTTTGAAAGTATAGGCAACAACTCTGAAGACAATAAGATTCATTATGACGCCCAATCTGGTTGACTATTATTTTCTTTTAAAGTCCTGTAATGTCTCCAATGCTTTGATTTTATTCTTTACTGTTTTGTTCAATTTTATTATAACTGGTAATTCTTAAAATAGCAAAAGGCAGTGTGGCAACTATTGTTGATCACCTTGTATTTTGTTTTTATATTATCTATTATGTACATCCTTTTGATTTGACTGACTGTTCTGATACGTCGCATTTGGTTTTACTCTCTTCAAAAGAAGTAATAAGAACTGTGGGAGTAATAAAACCCAAAATGTGTAATTGTCATTGTACAAAAGAAAAGAAAGTGCTCTAAAGGTTATAACTGCATATATGTTTAAAAGATACATAACCATATTACTGAGTTTTTTGGATCACTGAACAAAACTGTTTGCACTCTCACTGTTTGAAAGTCCACTTTATAAGCTTTAATTTTGTAACGAACAACTCTTTTTAAGATGAGAATATGTCATCTATTAACTAGTGATTTCTTACTGGTTTTTTTTTGAATTTTGTATTACTTGTACCCTTTCTCTGTTTTTCTCTTTTTCTCCTTAAATAAAAAAAATATTATCTCAGTTCTGTGACAACGTTATGTGTACAAATGGTTAAAGTATTACTATAAAGCAAATGATTAATTTTTAGTCTATTTTTCATCTGGTTTTTGCAAGATTTGCAAATCAAAAGTAATTCTATAAAGCAGAATAAATAACTTCAGATTGTGTTTTTAAAGTGATGAATATGTATCACTAACTAGTGATACTAGTGTCTCAAACTAAAGACTTGTGTCAAGGAAACTGTCATATTCTCTTGTTTTAACTTGTGTATAACAAAGACTGGTTGAAATGTGGCCTCAGAAACAACTCTACTGGAAGTTCCCCAGTATAAAGGTGAGTATAGTTGAAGCTGCTTTTTTTCTGGGTTTACTCTCAGCCGTTTGTTGCTTAGTACTATTGTTTCTTTAGCTCAGCTGTAGATCTGTGAGTTTCTAGGAGACTAGATCTGGCTGCCAGCTACAGGCAAGAGATGTTAGACATAATTATACCTCATCATGAATATACTGTTTCCTTCCAGAGACATTAATTCAGATGCAGTTTATCCCTAGTTGGGCAATGGCCAGAGGAATTCAAACCACAGAGTACAGAAAGTATAAGGTAGTAACAACTCTATTCACCCACTATGCTTTACCTGAAAGGACCCTTTCACAAGGAGTAAGGAGGTCTGAGATGTGACCAGAAAGTACTGCCTGCTTGGTTGACTGGATCATTTCTCACCTTCTAGAACAGTTTCAGGCCATGAAACTCTTAAAAAAATCAAGAGAGCTATTAAGATACAGTTTGAAACACCATCTCTTCAGGTTGCTGCAAGCACTGTAACTCTTAACTATTGAATTGATTTAACATTCTGGCAACCTCACAAATATTTATTTCAAAAGTTGCATTCATTTCACATGCTACGTTTAAAAGATCTAAAAATTTCCGTGTATGTATGTAATTGGACAAAAATGTCAGGTTTTGTGTGAAAACCACAAATATGTACAAATTTTCTATTTGTGAAGGATAATGAAGGTGGTAAAGTAGGTAACGGTTTTCCTGCAAGGTTCTTAATTTGTAACTCTACATTTCGGGTTCAAATGAAATATGTTAAAGTCATTTTACTGAACCATGTTAGCAATCTAAATTTGTAATCTGAAGAGCTAGTTGGCCATATTTCTCTACAGGTGATATAAAACATCCCAAGCATCCTGGAAACACCATTAGAGGTAGTAAGTAGTATTTTTGACCTGTGATCTAAAAGATAAACTTGATGAGGGGTGGTTCTTCCTTACAGAAAGTGACTTTGATATGGAAGGTATTTCTAGTTGTTTCCCTCATTTGGTATACCTCTATCCTTGTGGTTGAACAATTCCATAGTAGGACACATTTTAGTCTCTGATTGCCTTTCTTCCAATTTTTTTTTTTTTTTTTTTTTTTTTTGTCTTTTTCCTTTTTATCGGTACTGGGGATCGAATCACGACTGCCTGCTTGCAAGCCAGGCACTTATGCTGCTGAGCTAAATCCCCATCCCCTTTTCTTCCAATTTTTAAGCCTTATGAAGATGAGATGTGGTATCTTGTATGTGGATCATGAGGAATATTTTGAAATGACTAACAGAGAATTGGCTTCCTAAAGATTAGTGGCCAATAAAGAAGTGAAAATATATACCTGATGAAAATACACTTCAAGCATTTAAATGTCTTAAATACACAAAAAAGGGCCTGGCCAAGGACAACTTGCCTTTGGTGTGTGTGTGTGTGTGTGTGTGGCCATTAATTCAGTCAACACACCCCTATGGAGTAGTTAACATATGACGGAAACCTATTGGACACTGTTCCAGAAACTCTGAGACAAATACCTTAGAACATATTAAGAACAAACAGGATCAGTTAGTAAGACGGAACAGTTTAAATGTGGAAAAAATGATCAGGCACTCTAAATACCAGGTGTAAAAGCATTAGTTTGAGGATGGGGTAAGCAGACAGAATTTCGAAATTTGCCCCTCTTCAAGTTCACTGACCACGTTTCCAGCTCCTGAGGCCACCGAGGCCTTGCTAGGAGCCACTTGGACAATTCTGTTAGTTGCTTTCCTTTCCTGTTCTCCTTCCTCTGCCACCCTCATCCGGGATCAGGACTGAAAATCATCTGGAAAATTAAATTACTCACCCCTTAATGTCAGCTTTCATAAATTTCTTTCTCCGCCTCCCTCAGAGTACAGTTCAGCTCTTTGAGAGCAAGCCCCTGAATGAACTCAGGGCAGAGTTTTAACTTTAAGAGGGAAACCTGTCAGGTTCAGCCTGCCCACGACTTCACCTACTAGCTCATGGGCTCTGACCTCTAGGGTCCCTCCGCGCCACCTCTGTTCTTTTCTTATTTGCAGGCTAAAGAAAATAATTTTTTTTTGGGGGGGGGGGGAGGAAGGCAGCTGACGGAGTCCGCCGGCTCCACGTCCGCCCCGCGCAGAGGCAAGCCGCGCCGGGAAGGCTGCGCCCCCCGGACTCCAGCGGTGCGGCCGAGCGGCGCCGGCGTCCTCCCCTCCCCCTCGCTCCAGCGCGAAGCCTGCGGCCGGCGCGAGCGGCCGAGCGCAGTGTTCCCTGAACACAGAGCTCCTTGAGAACTCCGTGCGCTCCGGGCTCTCTGCCTCTCCTTTCATTCCCGAAGCGCGGAGCCAAGCACGCGTCCCGCGCGCCGCCTCCCACCGCTTCTCGGGGGCTGGGGCCGCGGCGGGCGGGCGGGGAGCAGTGGGGTCCGGGGTGGGGGGCGGGGGCTGGGCCTGCGGACGCGCAGCTCGGGGCGGGGGCGAGGGGCGGGCCGGGCCGCGCCGGCGCCTGATTGGCCGGGACCCTCGGCCTCTGCCCGTCAGTCTCCCGGGCCGGGCGGGCAGGGGCGGGGGCGGCGCGCGGCCGTGGGCGGAGGAGGGGGCTGCGGGCCGCTCGTCCGGCCCACTGACGGCATGAAGCCTTTAGGGGTACGCAGTGCTCGCAGCTTTTTGGTGGAAGCCCCTCAGCTGCCTTCAGTCTGAAGGCTGGGCCCGGCAGAGGACGGATCGGAGGGTCCCGCTCGCGGGGCAGGCAGAGAGGGAGAGGAGGGGGCGAGGGACAGACAGGAAGGAAGCGAACCATCACATTGAAAAGAAAAAGCCCTTTGACGTTTTACCTCCTCTCCCTCCCCAAATGACTGAGTAGCGCACGGCGGCGACACCTGGGAAGGCACGAAGTTGGTCTGCGTTCCCAATTGCTTGGTTTGAGTTCGCAGTGGTGAGCGCTGGGCTCGGAGATGGAGCCGTGGTCCTCTAGGTGGAAAACGAAACGGTGGCTGTGGGATTTCACCGTAACAACCCTCGCATTGACTTTGCTCTTCCAAGCTAGAGAGGTCAGAGGAGGTAAGAAAAAAATAAAGAATTTGGGGAGGTGGGAGATTGCCGTCGGTCTTTCTCCTTTCTGCGCCCCTCCCCCTCCCACTTTATCCCCCCCCCCCATTCTTTTAAATAAAATCCAGATTGTAGCTGCCACCAGGTTGGAGGTGGAAACTGGAGAGGGAGACAGAGATGGATGTAGGCGGGACAATAATGGTAGAGGAGGTAGATAGTAGGAAGAAAGATCTGTCAGCACAGGCTTGCTGAAAATGCCCTTCCCCACTTTTCAGTCTCTTTAAGAAAAAAAGAAAGAAAATAAGAAAAAAAAAATACTACCTTGAACAGAAAGGCAGTTGCACAGATCTTTTGTTTGAGGAACCGTTCTTAGTCTGCCTTTTAACAAATCTTTGGGTTTCTTGAGGTTCTAACTGGTGGGGATATCTTTTTAAGGGTGAACTGAGGAGAAAATATAGAGAAAGGGTATAAAATGAACCTTGATAAAGTTCTTTGTCTGCAACGAAGTGAGAAACAGGCTGTTTTGCTTTTCTGGGATATAAGAGAAACCAAGGGGGTGAATCTAGAAAATTGAGTGTACTGTGTGTGTGTGTGTGTGTGTGTGTGTGTGTGTGGCATTTTGAAGTGATTTTCGGTAGAACACATTTCACAGATTATAAAGAATGAATTCAAGATAGGGGAAACAGTTTTTGCCCGAGTTTCAGCCTCTCCTCTCTAGACACCTCCACACACACAAACACTTCTTCTTGCAGGTTGGACGTGCAGTTCTCTTGGAGAATGATGAAAGTCGCCAAGCAAATGGGGTGGGGGCGGAGGAGTAGGGGTTAGGGAAGGGGAGGGGGCGTGGGATGGGAGGAGAGAGGTAAGGAAAGTTCCTACGTGGCACCACCAAATATTCAATGACCAGACCTGCTCGGAAGACTGCAGCCCTGTCAGTACCCAAGGAGGGAGAGCGACTTCACTCCTCCCCTCTCCTCCTCCCTCGCGGGCCCCCGCCCTTCCTCCAAAAGGCATCTGGCGGAGCGGTCCGTTAGGTGCTGCAGACTCGGCTGGCAGGCGAAAGCCTTGGAATCTGGGAGCCCAAGCAATTTAGGGTAGAAAGCAAGCTTTGTCAGGAGTGCAGAGAGAAGCTGGGAACAGAAAGGAAGCTGGAGGGCAGTGAAGGGAGAGGAAAAGAAGAAGAAAAGTCAACCCCAGGCCCTCAGGCTTTGGCAGAAACCCGTGTCTGGCCCGGAGTCTGGATGCCAGGTTCTGAGTTTTCCCTAATGACAGCGGTCCCTGAGGCCAACTCTGCCACTAGGTCTGACCCCTTTGGATTTCATCTTGCAGAAAAGCAGGCAACTCTAGATTTTTCCCTGTGATATTACTTGGTGGATACAGTACTCATTAGGACTATATTTGAATTTTGAAATGAGTTATTTTAATTATGTTGAAACACCCTTTTCTACATCTCCAAGGATAAATGAGAGTCTTTTAAAGTAGAAAACACTGAAAAAAAATTGCATTTTCTTTTTGGTACCTGGTCTCCAAATGGATGGGTCAATTCTGTCAGCAAGTCTGCCCTCTGCTGGTGTGGAATATTAACTGGAATTCAAGCTTCTGCAAGAGTAGATGCGGCCTCTTAAAGTCGCTCTAACCACAGTAACAGCAGAAAAGGACAGCTTGTTGATAAAGGGAAGATGGACATACTAATTGTTTTTGAGAATGTGTCACCCACGTAAACATGCATAGTATAGCAGCAGCTCTGTAAAAGAAATAGAAATTCTTCATTGAAAACATAAGTTCACGGGACACTATCCATGTACATTCACTGAATGGTTTATTCAACTGAAGATACTTGGTTTTTTTCTTTATTTGCCATTTTGCTAAAGTTATGAAAATCAAAAAATCAAACTTATGCATCTCGGTGCATAATTTTCTATTTTCAATCTGATACACTTTGAGACAAACAACTCAGTACCACATCAAATAAATGGTAGAAAATAATTGCTCTTGGACAAAGCCAAGAAATGTGATAAATGGCAAAGTTATAAGGATCAGAAGTTGCTAGGTATCTGCCTGTCATTTGTGGTGAAATGTCTTGAAAATTGATGTACTTTAGATATTCATATTGTGAGGTTTTGTCATTTGTTTTTTCAAGTTGCTTGGTGCTAATACTGCCTGGTATGAGGCTGCATGTTTACTTAAACCTGTTCTTGTGGTTATTCTTGCCACCTAATTACTGTCAAAAAAGGAAATAATACTGCATTAATGCCTAAGAGGGAAATACTGGCTTCAAAGGCTGAATTATCAGATAGGGTAAAATAAACTTAGTATCCAGTTCTAAAACTAGCCTTTATATTTGTTGAAGGAATGAGTAAGATTTTGTACAAGTTTCCAAATAAAGGTGTTATATTACAGCATCATAGTATGACAGTGATTTCTCTGAAGTGCAATGATATGGTTCAGTTGCTAAACTCAAAGATAATTTAAAACACAGCCTAGTTTCATATAAAATCAAAACAGTAAAGACTTTAGTGTTTTGCATCATAATAAAGTTAGACACAAGTTTCTTGGAAGAGAATGGATTAAAGAAATTGATTTCACATGGAGTCATTATTTTACTTTGAAAATTCAAACTAAGGAATCATTAATGTACTTATTAGAAAATTTCAGTATCTACTATGATTTAGTGTTAAAGGCTAGATAGTATTTTAATAGATAACCATATAGTTTTAATTAAGTACTTCATGGAATATTTTGTGTGTGTGTGTGTGTGTGTGTGTGTGCATTTATTGTGGGTAAAACCTGGAATTAGTGATTGCACTATGACATTTTCAACATACATAGTTTCCTGTAAAAATTTCAAGTAATAATTTAAGTAGGAGCTGACTATAATTGAATACCAAGAAAGATAAGTTCTAATTAAATTTTTTAAAAATTAAAATAGTATTGGGCTTTTGGCAGTTAAAGGAACACTAAATTGCACAATGTTGAGACTTTGTAGAAGAGTTTTCAGAGTTCGTCAGAAATTGCTAGTTAAACCTGAAGAATTGTTATTTTGAGTGCCCGGGATCTGCAGGTGAAATGGTACTGATTTCCAGAATGTGTGCTCATCTGATCTTGCAAAGAGATCAAATTTTTCCTTTGATTACTTAATTAGAAATCAGATAAAAGATCTCCTGTACTTCTGGCAACAAGCACAATCTCTGGTGGGATTATTAATATTGTATCTTCATTTTTTTAAATTTAAATTTGCCTAAATTTGTAAAAGGGAATCAGTAAAGCATAAGAAATATCCAATAAAACATCCAGATAATCTTGGTTCAGGTTGTATGTATATATTCAATAAATAACAAATACTTTCATCTAATTATTCATTTCAGAATTAAATTTATTAACATCTTAAAGTGTCAGTTTGCTTCGTAATTTACACTTAACTGAGGGATTATTTATGAAAGTTACTCCTCAAGAGTAGTTTAAAATTAAATTTTGAAACATTAAAATAAGAAATGTATACACTGCGATTGCTTTGCTTACAAGTTAATTTTAAAGATTCTTTATTTCTTTTCATTTGTGATGAAAATGTAAGCATCTCATTGTTCAATTTAAATCATTCGTAAAATAGAACAAGGAAAATATCACTTCTTTTTGTATTTTTGGTTGGTTCCATTCTATCAAATCAAAGTGTAGCCTCGTTCCTAAAAATTTTGTTTTCTGAAGTAAATTTCACTCTAGTTCATTTATCAAAGCTTTGGTTTATCATTGTCTATTAAAAGATGACAATAAAAAATCAAGCTTGATTGCGAGTGGCTTTGTAATGTAAATTTTTCAGGGGAAGAAAAGGTAGTTTCATGATATTCCTTTCTCCATGGTGCTAGAGCCAGGAATTAGAATAATGGTTAACCAATTCTGCCATCTCACTCTGCTACCCAGGAAACTAAGGCACAGGGAGTCCTTAGTTGGCTATCTTTTCCTCTTTAAAACTTAAAAGTTTTCTCATAGTCAAGCTTTTTTTGAGGGAATACAGTGAAGATCTGTTATAGTGATAAGAAATGCCTGCAAGTAATACAATCCTGAGACTGGATGGAATGACAACATTTCACCTAAAGGTATATGTGTCAGAGTTTAGATTAGTGAGGTGGCTAAGTGAAAATACATGATTTAGAGAAAATCAGATATGAAGTAGTTATAGAATGCATTTAAAATTACTCAATTTTCTAACTTCAGAGAAAGAATTTTTGATCATTTCTTTTTAGATGTACTGCAAATATACTTATGTATAAAGTATGATTATCCATATCAGAGTAGAAAGGATAAGGGTTTCTAAATTATTTTTTGTAAACATGTATTCCAAGGTGAAGAACATAAATACAGTTTTTTATCATCTGCAGAATAGTTAATGAAGGAGCAGGTACAATTCTGAATTTTGAAGAAGCTAAGAAATCTATATATACATCAAGTTTTTATAAATTTTATATATTTATGTGTTTTTTAATCAAATGAGGAAAATAATGTCAAATTTCTGATCTTTTGTGTCAATTTAAATGATTATATGATATCATATATACTATATGACTTAATAAGTCAGAAAGTCATTATGTATTTGATATATGCTAATAATTCTTTTCAAATACAGTAAGGGGTCGCTTTAGGGAAAAAAAGCAAAAGACCAAGTAGCACAAATTCTTTTTTTTCTGTACCGGAGATCAAACTCATGACCTCACACTTTCCAGTCAGGTTCTTATGCTGCTGAGCTAAATCTCTGCTTTCAAGTAACACAAATTCTAATTAATGGTTTGATTTGGTTTGGTACATCATCTAAAGCTACATGATAGCTTTTACCTCAGAAATGCAAGGGACAGTTTATTTATAACAAGTTCTCACTTTAAATGAGACACCATTATATTTTATTGTGTTGTTGAAAACTCTGAAAAATTTTATTTTCCTGTGAAATGGTGAAGTAAAGGAAGAATTCTATTTTATACATCAATATTTATTTTGAGAAATCCCATCTTGAAGACCTAGTATCA